CTTCAGGAGCGCAGGAGGAAAGGGGACTGTCAGGGGCCAGTGGAAGCCCTCCTGCTTTACAGCTCATGTCAGTGTGCTGGAACAGGGGAACCACAGCTTTTCTTTTTTTTTGACCGATTCAGAGATGGGAGGAAGATGGACGAGGTGGTCCATGTCTTGTTCAGTGTCGTCATGATTCTGTGACTGTGCCCAGCATAGATTTGTTGACATTTAAAGACGGACACACAGCTGGGGCTGTCCACCTAGTCCCCCTTGGTGACCGTTTCCTGCCTGACATGCCACTTAACAAAGTATCTGCTGTGAGAGTGCACGGAAGCAGAGGGTGTGGCCTGACTCCAGGATGGGTCCAGGTTTAAATGCTCTCTTCCTTTGCCCCAAATCCCCTTTCCTTGGTGGCTTTCGGGATGTGTGCAGCCCCCTGGAGGGAATCATGCATAAGACTATGATAAAATGGCTTTGTTTTCAGAAAGGATGCATGTAACTGATGTACAACATTCATATAACCGTAAACTGATGGAGAGTCTGTGGTTAAATAAATGATACGGATGTTCCAAAAAGGGAATAGCAAGGATGCTCCTCCGAAAAGGCGTTTGTCTGTGTGCCCGGTTGACTAGCACAGTCAGTGCCCCACGATGGGCTAGGTGGCCTGGGGAAAGGCTTACTTGTGCTGCCTGTGTAACCAGAGGTAAGCCCCGGTCCTCCTGCAAAAACACCTCTCCCCTGGTCAGATTCTGTAGCACCCGGGAGTCTAACAAGTCTTACCCCAGCTTTGGCTGTACGCTATCATTTTGCTCCTTACAGAGGACTGGCTTTCTGAGTGTTTTCAATTTTTAAAAAAGTTATTTTTATTCATGGACACTGCTGCCCGACTGCCAACGGTGTATGTCTTGCAGTGACCCATGCAAAGTGTGAGGTGGGACTTTACATGGGCTGTGAGGGTCCACGTTGCCTGTCAGGTCAGCTGGGCCATGATTCTCAGGGCTGGCAGCTATGTCATGATGCCATTTCACAGGGAAGCCATGAAGTAGCCGCCCTCTACTTTGTGTTCCAACATGAAAGATGAAAGCAGCACTCCTTCTTAGGGAGAGGGGGTGGGTTGCACACTTGGCATCTGCACTCTGGCCTTGGGAGAAAGGTCGTGTCCTATAAACTTCAAGGCAGGTGGGTGGTGCAAAGGGTGAACGGTTCAAATACTGGCCAGGCGGTCATCAGTGTGGACCCGCCCCCCCCAGCGATGCCTCCACCGCTGCTCACAACAGTGAGGAGCAGGAAGCCGCCCAGAGGCCCAGCAGGAGAGGGAACAAAGAAACGTTGGCACACAGACAAGGAGAGCCTCCTCGGGGAAGCCCAGGGCCTGCAGGGACCCAGTGAACACAGCCCTGAGTGACAGGAGCCCGTCCCGAAGGACAAATGGGAAGATAGATCCACGAGGCCACTGTAACAAAGGACAGGAAAAACCACAACAAGGTACAGATGTTCACAGCAGAGAGAACAGACTTTGGAGTGTCCGGAAGGAGGGAGGGCAAGGGAGTGAGGGCTGAAGCAGGGGCCGCCACACCGAGCTGTCAGCCAGGGCGGCTCTTTCAGTCTGTGTACTGGACTAAAACTGAAAATGAAAATAAATCTCATCTTCAGGTCATGCTCATTCCCTTTGCTTTGAGATATACATTTATGGCTCTCAGAAAATGCCTAAATTGCTGCCAGGGACAGAATGGGCTCTTCCATTTCAAACGTTCGCAGGCCCTTGGCTACAAGGCTGCTGCTCCACCCGAGGGAGGCGGGGAATCAGGGAGCAGGGGAAGGGTGAACTATGCGGGGGCTTGGTTTGTCGTTTAAACCAGGGATTACAAAGTAGGTGTTCTGAAATGTAATTGACCGTTTTGAAAAACACTTAAAAAGTCAGCCTTTGAAAACTGGGTGGAGCACATGCTGCCCCAACACACGTGGTGCTGTCGCCAGGAGTCACGGTCCACTGGACAGCAGCAGCATTGCCGGTGCCTTCATCTGGGCTCCTTCTCCCAGCCAGCGCCTGGTCTGTGGTCCTAATCGGCACGATTTGACCCAGTGGGCAGAGATGCATATGAATGCGAGGTTCCGATCAACGGCGAATTCCAAGCCTGCCTAGCCCTGCCCCTGACATCTTCTACTGACTGCAAGATGAACAAGGACCGGGAACAAGAAATGCCTTTTGGAGCTGGTCCGCTAGGTTTCTCTTCCTTCAACTAAAACCTTACATCTGTTTCAAATATAAGAAAGGGGAAGAGGTGAGAGAAACAATGGTTTGAGCCCTAATGTCGAGAGATGGGATTCAAGGCAGTCACCAGCTAAGAGACAAACCCATCCACTGCCACCGCCGAGTCGATTCCAAACCCTAGTTGCTTGGGTTTCCAAGACTGACCATCTTTCTGGGAGCCAGAAGTCTCAACGTTCTCCCATGGAGCAGTCAGTGGGTTCGAACCGCCCACCTTGCAGTTAATTAGGAGGCCAATGCTCACTTGCACTGCACCAACAGGGCACTTTTCATGGACAAAGATGAAGCTCTCTTTATAATGATGACAGCCCAAAATAACCAAATTAAAGACCTGGTTGTGCCCCTGTAGAAAATGTTGAATGCCACAGGTGACCTGCTCATGAAGTGGTTCCCCCCCCAAATCAAGGTACCAAAATTGAGAGTCAGATATCAGCTCTTTGTTAATTATATGATGATATGTACAAAACATATTTCCAAAAAAATGTCTTCATGGAAATGTGCCAAAACATTAGCAATCATTATTTCAGAATGGTTGAGCTATAGGAGCTAATGTGTTTTTTTTTAAATCATTTTCTACAATAAGCTTGAATTATGCACAACAGTATAATAGACGTGTGTTAGTTTTAAGGTTTATTGCGCCGACCTGGCCAATGAACACATGTGTGATTAATTGGAGGGCGGAGAGATAAATACCTCAGTGAGCCTCGCCTTTCTTGTCTCTTGCTCGCTGATGGTCAGACCTGGATGCAGCTGCCTTACCTAGTTCTCTGCCTCAGCTGGCAAGGCGCACTTCCTGCAAGACATCCCTGAGGAGAAGCCACATGGACCTATCCCGATGCAGCCCTGGGTGCTGGAGCAGCCACCTGGAGACACTTGCCAGCACCTGAGATGCTTACATGCTCACTGATTTGGCTTTCTTCTGCAGTCAGCACCATTGCATGGGTTTTGTGAGCTTGAGGAGGCCTTTATAGATCGGTGTCGGACAGAGGGGCTAATGTTGGACTTATGGGCTTGAACTGGACTGGGTTGGGATGCTTTCACTCACCCTTTCTATAAAACTCTGTCTTATAAAATATGAGTGTCTATGAATTTTGTTTCTCTAGTCTACCCAGACTAACACAACATGTCTTACAACAATATAATAAATAACTCACAAAGAGAAATTAATTGCTTGTGGGAAAATGGGAATTTCATGATGGAAATTACATACCATAGTATTACTCCTACGTTCATGGCGTGCTCAGGTGTGTTTTCTCCATGGCTTCTGGAAGGCTGGAGAACATACTGAACCAGTTTTGATGTGTAGTTTACGTCTAGAATAAGGTTGAATGAATCTGGATCTTTAAAATTATATCATGTGTAGTATTTTAACCCCTTTGTGTAATGAGTTACTGCTGTAGGAGGACCCCTGGCTGCACAGTGGTCAAGTGCTTAATTACGAAGGGAAAGGTTGGTGCTTCAGACCCATTAGCCACGCCCCGGGAGAAAGATGTGGCAGTCTGCAGCCGTGGAAACCCTGTGGGCAGTTCTACTGGGTCCTGTATGGTCGGTCGCAATGGGTCAGAACCAACATGATGGTGATGCATGCTACTTGAAGGAAGAGACAACTAGTGGACCCGCATGTAGAAATGATTGCCATATGTTGGCAAGGGTATGCGAGAACTGGACCCCTTAACCATGGCTAGCGATAATGAGCCAAGATATACTGAAAACCCCAATAACTTAACACTGAAAGGCAAGTAAGCCAACATTAAAATGGACAGAGACCTTGAATTAGCATGCCACTAAGGAGGATTGTGACCCAGGATGGGTGAATCTTTAGAGACAGTAATGGGATAGATGGTTCCTTGGGGAAACAACAGGGGATGCTGGGGGGAAATGGTGAGTTACTAACAAGGAGTATAAGGGGGAAAAAAAGAAAATGTTCTAAAGTCGATTGTGGTAATGATTGTACATCACTTTTTGGTATGACTGAACAATTGAATTGTATGATATCTGGATTATTTCCCAATAAAACTGCATAAAAACTAAATAAATAGCTTTGGAACATAAAAAAAACTAAAATAAAGAAAACTTAGACCACCAAACACACGAGAAGATGCTCAATGCTATTTAGCCTTCAGAGAGCTGCCAATCAAAAACATGGTGAGCTACCATGTCACGCCCACTCTGATGGCTTCAGGAACCGTGGTGGCTCAGTGGGTAAGCAGTGGGCAGCTGCTCTGCAGAGAGGGATGTGGCCGTCTGGGAAACCCTACAGAGCAGTTCTACTGGGTCCTCCAGGCTCACTATGAGTTGGGGGTGCCTCGGTGACAGTGAGTCTGGCAGGGTGACAGGGACACACACCAAAAATAATTGTAGTCACTGACAAGATTTAACTATCGACTACCTTTTCCTTCTGAAAAGCAGTTTCCAACTTCAGCCCCTGTTCATTCTGACACCATTTAAAATTGTCTTATGCACTTATTGTTCCAGAATATTTTTAGGTTTCCCAGAAGTTAAGAATGATGGAATATTGGGTACTTAGAAATGTCGGAGAAAGGATTGAAATTTGGTTCTACTGATTAAAATGCATGGACAAAGTTAGCTTTGGATTCAGATCATCTTCCTTCCACTTACATAACAATCATTTCTATACATTGAAGAGGACACAACTCATTACTTGAAGATTGCTGTGCCCATGATGTGTCGTGATGTTATAATTCTGAAGTAAACTTGCCCCCCCCCCCTTTTTTTGGACTCTCTCAAGTCTAGAACAATGTCAGGAGAACTTCCACTAAACATCAATATTAAGGAGCCTCGATGGGACCAAACCACGTTTGTCGGACGAGCCAATCACTTCTTCACTGTGACGGACCCCAGGAATATCCTGCTAACCAACGAGCAACTAGAACATGCAAGGAAAATGATACACGATTACAGGTAATTACAGTGATGTTTTGTTTTGTTTTTAACTTCATATAGCAATAGATACTCATGCTACATGGCTACATCCAAACCTCACTTAGTGATGCTACCATTTTTTCTGCATTGGAATGCTTTTTAAAGGAAGGGAGGAGAAGGAAGTCAGGAAAGAGAGAAAGTTTATTTTCTGTCCCCTTCCCTGCCTTTAGGAACCCTGGTGACATAAGTGGTTACAGCTGCGAACTGAGAAGTCAGCAGTTTGAAACCACCACCAGCTCTTCAGAAGAAAGAGGAGGCTTTCTCCTCCTGTAAAGCGTTACAGTCTCGGAAATCCCCAGGGAGAGTCCTGCCCTGTCCTGAAGGTCCCCACGAGTCACAGTTGGCTCGGTGGCAGTGAGTCTGGGTTTTCCCCACCTTTGATGTAGATGTTTAGTGCGCAAATACTGGACAGCCAAAAGAACCAACGTGGAGGAAGTGCAGCTCGAATGATCCTTAGAGTGTGACCATGGCAAAGCTTGACTTTGTCTCCTGTTCTTTGGACATGGGATCAGAAGAGATCAGTCCTTGGAAACTGATGCATGGCAAGGTAAGACGCATGGCAAACTTCATGCATGGCAAGGTAAGAAAGACAGTGAAAATGAGGAAGGCTGTCAAGGAGATGGATTGGCCCAGTGGCAGCAACAATGGGCTTAAACATCAGAACAATTAGGAGGCTGGCACAGGACCGGTGGTGTTTTGTTTGTTGGGTCACTGTGGGTCAGAACCTGCCCAACAGCACCTAATACCACCTGTTGCTGTTGCGTCCACTCTGGCTCATGGCACCCCCGTGGGTGGCAGAATAAAACTGCTTCATCATTTTCACGGACTACTGGTTACACATTGGGCTGCGATCCGCATGGTCGGCAGTTTGAAACCACCAGCAGGAGAAACCACCGGCTCTCCGTGGGACAAAGACTGGGCTTTCTACAGCCACAGTCTGAGAAACCCACAGGGGTCGCTATGAGTCAGCGTTGACTCAATGACAGGAGAGGCTTTTCTTTCAAGGTGTCCGGGTGTGGACTTGAACCTCTGACATTTCAGGGAGCAGCTGAGTACACTCACTGTTTGCACCATCCAGAGATTCCATCTGGGGTCCACAGTAGCCTGAAGGAGGAGACAATGTCCCTCCAGCCCATCGGGACCGATCTGTGAGATTGCCCTTCCCAGCACCGTGCTTCTCCTGCACCAGACAAGCAACCACCCTGTACCTCTTTCTGGATCCAGACGGAGACATTATCGCGCCCATAAGAAAACTGAAACTGGCACGCATTCAGGAAGATGGGTTGCTTCCGAGATGCGGGCCCATCAGATGAAGCAGTGCAGGTGGGCGCTCTGAGGGTCAGGATGCTGGTGGCAGGGCTGCCGGGCTTCCTGGGTCTGAGGAGCATTCCATCCGCCCAGAGAGCAGGCATGAGGCACATGAGATGCAGCACTCTAACCCAGGGCTTGACAAACTTTTCTGTAAACCCGCTACCCACTGCCCTGGAGTGGAACTGCCTCTGGGGTGTTGGAGACTGTAAATCCTTACAGGAGCAGAGCCCCTCTCATCTTTCTCCCACAGAGGGCTGGTGAGTCCAAGCCTTCTGGTTAGCAGCCCAGTGCTTAACCTGCTGTGCCACCAGGGTTTGTTGTTATTGTTTTGTTTTATGTGAAGGACTATGTACTCATTATTTCAGCCTCTGCAGGCCATAGAGAACAGATGGCTCTTGCTGTTGTTCTAATTTTGTTTGGGGTTGTCATCTAGCTCCAGCCCAGGGTGACCCGTGTACAACAGAACAAAGCCCTGCCTGGTTGCACACCAACTTCCTGACCACTGGAATACTCCATTGTTGCAGCTGCTAAGCGTTGGATTGCCTTCCACCCCGGGGTCCCTTCTCCTAGCACAGTATCAGAAGTTTCTGGAAGTAGATCCCTAGACTTTTCTCCCTGGTCTGTCTTATTCTGAAGCACCACTGAAACCTGCCAGCCATGGGAGATCATGCTGGTCTTTGAAAGACCAGTGACATACCTTCCAGCGCCATAGCTACGTGCAAACCACCACAGTATAACAATCTGGGAAATTAGGAAATGGGTAGTGGGTTTTATTTGACAGTCCTTTAAAAATTGTAAAGGAAAAAAAAAAGCATACTCTGAGGTATCCAAGCACACAAGCCACA